TTGTCAGTGATTTCATATTACTTGGCTCCACCATCACACCAATGGAAGCAACACTCAAGAAATCAGACAACATATTGCACTGGGCAAATCTGCTGCAAAAGACCTCTATAAAGTGCTGAAAAGCAAAGATGTCTCTTTGAAGACTAAGGTGCACCTAACCCAAGCCATGGTATTTTCAATTGCCTCATATACATGTGAAAGCTGGACAATGAATAAGGCAGACTGAAGAAGAGTTGATGCTTTTGAGTTGTGGTGTTGGTGAAGAATACTACAAGTACCATGGACTGCTATAAGAACTAACAAATTTGTCCTGGAAGAAGTGCAGCCAGAATCTCCTTGGAAGCGAGAATGGCCAGACTTCGTCTCACCTACTTTGGTCATGTTGTCAGAAGGGACCATGCCCTGGAGAAGGATGTCATACTTGGTAAAGTGGAAGGTCAATGAAAAAGGGGATGGCCCTCAATGAGATGGATTGACACAGTGGCTGCAATGAAGGGCTCAGGTATAGCAAGGATAGTGAGACTGGAGCAGGATTGGGCGGTGTTTCATTCTGCCATACATGGGGTTGTTATTTGTTGGTGCTGACTCAATGGCAGCAAACAAAAATCCTGCCATGCAACCATCACCAATATCACTGACAAAATTCCATTACCATAAACAGAAATGCACTGCTTCCTGAACAAGACAGCCCTTTGCCCTCTCCCTCTCACTCCTGGCAGCCATTAATAGGCTTTGGTTTCTATGCATTTGCCTATTCTAGCTATTTCATATGAGTGAGTTGATACCATTTTATTAAAGATCTGCAATCTGCTACATGTTAATGATCACAAATTTTCCTATTGTGTCTGAAGATACATTGACTTGCTGCTTTCTTGGCCATGCAGAAAAAAAAAAAAAAAATCACATTTCTCTAAGTCCCTTCCTATAATCTCACAATTTGGTTTAAATGAGCAGTTGAATGTTAAGAGCCATGTATTTTGTTCATTGTAGAAAGCAGGAGGGAGATCCAATTGGAGTAACTTTAGTTTGCTTTTAACAATAAAGGAGGAGCCCTGGTAGCACAACAGTTATTCACTGGATTACTAACAGAAAGGCAGACGGTTCAAACCCACCCAGTGGCTCCAGGAGAAAGACCTGATGATCTCTCCCATAAAGATTACAGCTAAGACAATCCTCTGAGGCACTTCTACTCTGTCACGTGAGGACTCTATGAGACTCGACCACACCTGCATACTACAATGAAGAGTTCTTTAATCAATTACATGATGATAATATGATATGTCATTTTTTTTTCTTTTAGACTAGAAGCTATAGGAATTGGGGGTTGCAAGCTAGATTCAGTATTTTAGACCTTACTAGTTTCTATCTCATTCTTACATAACATTGTGGCCGATGTATTTGAGCAATATAACTATCCATGGATATTTGCTTGGTAAAGTAGAGGGTTGGTGAGAAATGAGGAAGACCCTCAACAAGATGAATTGGCACAGTGGCTACAACAATGAGCTCAAGCATGGCAATGATTGTGAGGAAGGCATAGGACCAGACAATGTTTCATTCTGTTGTATATAGGGGTCGCTGTGAGTCAGAACCGGCTGGACAGCACCTAACAACAACATGGATATTTATAAAACTTTTTATTTAGATTTCACGTCTCTTACTTATTTACTCACTGCTGCCGAGTCAATTTCAACGCACAGTGACCCCTTCTTGGGTTTCTGAGGCAGTATCACTACGGAAGTAGATTGCCCCATTTTCCTTTGGAGGAGTGGCTGGTGGGTTTGAACTGCCAGCCTTCAGGTTAGCAGTCACATGCCTTGGGCAGTGCGCATCTAACTGACTATTCTGTTTGAGATCTCAGAATCTAAATGTCTATGACCCACATATCTCACTCTAGTGCCAAATGGCTTCCTTTGAAATGCAAAAGATTTTACAAAATGATTATATTTTACATTGAGAGAAAAAGTGAAGACTTACAAGGTATATAAATATGTCCATTACACCACCAAAGTCCCTGATGACAGCAGTTGGAGTGAAAAATAAGCCATCTGCCATAATCTTCAGATTAAGCTCAAAGCTCATGAATATCACAAACACATACTCAGCAATCTGAAAAAGGACCAAAGTCAGTTTGATCAGAATGAATGGAAAAATTGTAGGTTATTGTTTTCCTTCTTAGCTGTGAGCTGAGATTTAGCAGCTATACCTGCAAAGTAGGTGTGTGCATGACTCTTCGGAAAGGGGATTCAAACATCATGGAAATACAGGAGCAGATGGTTACAATGATCATGACCCAGTCTAGGTAAGTAACCAATCCCAGCAAATCACTGCCAAAGACCAAACAAAAGTGAGAAAGACATATACCTAGAAAAAGCTGCTGAAAGTAGTGATGCTGGTATCTGTGAGAATTAATATGAACATGACACAAACCCCAACCACCTATTTCATTGTAGTATACAGTAAGAAAACCAAGAGAAGTTTTTACACCATAAAGTACCAGACAAAACTTAAAGGGCACAGAAAATTAAGTTTACAATGCTTACTAAAGTTGATGGTACTTTGTATTCTTCACAGCTCCTGTGACAGGATCTGTTTTAGATCTGTAAGAGAGAACACACAGGTATTCTGCAATACAGCTTAGGAGCATAGTATTTATACCTCAACAGCCTAAAATCTCCTTCATGTCCTCCATAAATGGCCTGTTACTTTAACTGTATGTGGAAGGCAGAGAATATAAATTCAAGGAGAAATCAAGAGTTTGCCTTTGATTCTTATAAAAATAATGTTTATATTCCTCAAAATACCTGATTTTAAAATTTGTAACACCAATGAATAATTTCTGACATGACTATTACAAAATTATGTTTTGACTTTCATCTAAAATCTTCACTTTATTAGCTCAAGGACGTTCTTCATAATTATTTAATTAAATACTCCATAAATTAAATCGAGTTCTTCACTATGTATTTAACTGCAGTCTTGTGGAATAATTCATATAGACTTTGTTAGCATGGGGACTTATGACTTTAAAGAAGCCCATGACCAATCTTCAGTGGAGCTTCTGACAATCCTTGTGAGTGTCCTCTCAATGACAACAAAGCCTTTTCCATTTGCATTCACTGTACGCTGCATTACTGACAAAAGAAGAATTCCACCACATAAAATGAAGTGGAGAATTAGCAATTATATGTTAAAATGAAGGCAGACAACAGAATAATTCAAGATGAAAAACCCAACTTCCAAACTGCCAGCTTCTGCCTCTACTAAGCTGTGAAAGCTCAAGGAAGTTTTTAATGATTACCAGGTGCTGTAAATTGTGAGTCTTTCTAGAACAGCAGAAAAAACAATAGACTGGAAGTCCTAAGAGAGCCGTGTGCTAGCTGGTGTCCTTGAGCAAAGCCTTTAATCTCCATAGACCTAAATGTTTTATCCTCTGTTGGAGGAGGAGGAGGAGGTCTACAAATGATACCAAATGATCCGTGCAGGTCTCTTCTAGGCCTGAAGAGTGATGACAGTGATTATCATATAATATTAATTATATGAAAAGAGATCAATTTGAGGTCCAACTAACTAATGGAAAGTTTTTATACTCCCTTCAGGATTCTTAATGACTGCAGGGTATTTACCTAAAGTTATGCTTGAGTAAAATTCCATTTCATCCATCGTATGTTTGCCTGATAAACTTGATTTAACCAGTGAATGAGCTTCTGTCAATTTGATCCAACTCCTGGCCGTCCCATGAGTGCCAGAGTAGAACTGTGCTCCATAGGGTTTTCAATGACTGGAAATCATTTTTCAGAAATACACTGCCAGACTTTTCTTCTGAGCTTCCCCTGGATGGACTTGAACTTCCAATCTTTGGTTAGCAGCTGAGGGCATTAGTTGTTTGTACCCCTAAGGACTCCAAATACAGGGTCCTCAAACTTTACCATACTGGTCGCTTCTTATACATCCCTTTCTTGTTCGTAGGAATAGGAATAGAGACAGTGGCCAGTAGATTTCCTTTCCATGAAAATTGAAAATGCTTTTTTTCTCCTTGACATTACACTACAATAGACTATTGGGGTAGTTTGACTATTAAGAAACTCCACATCTAAACGTCAAGTGAGCATTGACCTTTGCCAGGTCATTTGGTCTACCTTTGTTTCAGTTTTTCCAATATAAAATGTGAAATTAATAACATTGATGAATATGTAGGGGTCCAACTAATAAAATGAACAGATAAAATAGCTAAGATCTTTACAAATGAGACTTTTCTATAAATGTTAACTAATTGCAACCTCTGTTTGTTTTCCACCTGGTCAGCAGCTCCGCCAAGAGGAGCAGCATGATTAATTAGCCTACAGTTTATTTTGTGACCCCATTAGGATTACACGTTCCTTCTTCTTATGACAACCCTCCCTGCTGTTTGTACAATTCAGGCTAAACACCTGGCTGAAATTAAGTACACTTACGCATTGAAGCGTGCTCGGACCACCACCCGGCAAAAGTTTCTGAACCTGTGCTCTCGGCCAACGATGAAAAGTGGCTTATCAAAGTATGGGTGGTTCTCTCTCAGTTCCTCTTCTTGCACTTTCCTTGGGTGGGGAGAAGAGAAGGAAATACGTAGAAGAGTAAGGCTACCCTAAAGTTTGCTATTCTAAAGTGAGAGCCATGAAACATTGTGCCACTGTACCTTTTCATTTCTGCTTGTTCCTTTTTTTCCTGTATCATCTTTATTTCACTGTCTTCTCTTTGTGCATTTCGATATCTCACTGTATTGGAATGCTAGAAACACATTTACAGGGGGGAGGCATATTAAAATGGGAGGTTTTTTGTTTGTTTGTTTTTTGGTTTTAAGACCAAAGAAGACTATTTATCATTTTAAAAAATTAAAATCACTACCTTTATTTTATGCAGATTTTAATGACCACAGTCACCTTAGGAAGAATATTTCTTTTTTGTGATAAAAATATATAAAACAAAACATTTGCTTATTCAATATTTTTTTGCATGTACAAGTCAGTGACATTGTTTACATTCATCATGTTGTGCGGCCATCACCACTATCCTTTTCCAAATGATTCTATCATCATTAGCAAAAACTCTGTGTCCCCTAAGCAATGACTCTCCCTTACCCTGCCTTGCACCTCTCATAACCAATAACAAACTATGGTCAGCAAGAGTATTTTTAACACTTTTATTGAGAACTTACTATATGCCAGACACTGTTCTGGTGCTGAGGAATACTGGCAATCTACTTCCGTAAAGATTTACCACTTTGGAAATGCAAAGTGGGTCACTATGAGTCAGAATTGACTTTATGGCAGTGAGTTTGATGTGGTTTTGGTTCTGGTGTTGAGGACCATGCAACAAGGAAGAACAGTTGCAAAAATCCCTGCTCTCATGGATCTAATTTTCTAGCAGATAAAAAGTAAATCAAAATAAGTATGTTAGAAGATGTTTAGTGCTTTGCTCAAAAATAAAGGCAGCCAAGATGGATAAGATGGGTGTTCCAGAAGGCTCCAATTTTAGACAGACAGGTCAGGGAATCTCAATATGTTGATGCTATTTGAGTGAAGAAGGAGCCCTTGGAGCTCAAAGATTAAGCAACTGGCAGCTAAGTGGAAGGTTGGCAGTTTGGGGAAAAGACCTAGAGTTGCTAGTGGAAGAAAGATGTGGAGACTGGCTCCTGTAAAGATTACAGCCAAGAAAACCCTGTGGGGAAGTTCTACTTGCGTCAGCATTGCTCAATGGCACCCAACAACAGGAACAATATTGGAGCAAAGACTTGAAAGAGGAAAGGCTGCAGGCCACTGGATTATTGTAGAAATGTGTTCCTCTCAAGGTGGGAGCAGGCTTGGTCCATATAAATGCAGAATAGCAAGGGTGCCAGTGTGGGTAGAGCCAAATGAACAAGGAACAGAGTAGCAGAAGATGAGGCTAGAGAAGCAGCGGTGCTGGTGGGGAAGGGACTATGTAGGACTTGGGAGGTCATTATAAAAAGTTTAGCTTTCACTCTGTGGGAGATAGGGAGCTATTATTCAAAAACTTGATAGATTTTTATAGAACTTATTCCTTAGCTTTAATTATCTTTACCTTCTATAGGTTGGAATAAGTGAAAAAAGATGAACTCTTCTAATTAAATTTTATTCTCTTATGGGGAAAATGAATCGTGAGAAATTTCTTATTAACTTAGGAGAACTCCATGACATTTTGCTACAGAGAAGATGGGACATGACTTTTTTTTTTTTTTTTCCTGGTACATCTACATGGAAAATATTATGAGAGGTCTTAGAAGAAGAAGCAAGGCTCTGGAATTGAGACTTCAAATAGATCTTTATTTTTTAATAAAATATTTCAAATAGAAACAGAAATAAAGACTAGTGCAATGAACCCCTATCTGCCCATAATCTAGCTTCAAAAACTATCAAATAATGGCTAATCTTATTTCTTTCTTTATTTTTTAAATCCCTTCAATTAGACTTCAAATAGATTCTTTGATTGTACGTGGGGGTACAATATGGCTTTGAAACATGCATGTGTTTTCAAAGCTATGTTGTAATTTGATTCTTAAGCAGATAGTGCATTGAAGGAACACATTTTGAATGAATGTTCCTTCTCTGGATTTTTACTAGAAATTTTCTCCATGAAATTTCATAGGCTCCCAAATTACAAGCATAAATCCTGTGTTGGATCTGATTACAATGCAATATTGACAATATGGTAGCCAAATGGATAGAGTTCTGGCTATTAAAAATTCTGGCAGTATTAGATATTTGTACCAATTAAAACTATGCAAATTGGGTAATGGTGATCTCAAGTTTTCTCACTACCAACTTCTTCTAGTTCTCAATTTTGCCTGAAACACTTAGTAAGGAGAATAGATCCACAGTTTACCTTGACTAAAATAGAAATTTCTACAATTGAAAGCAGATGCAGTATGCTAAAAACTCCAGAAACTCTTAAGAAATAAGGTAATTGGTGAAAAACAAAAATCTTTAAGCCTTTGCTAACTTGCTTTTCCTTGGCCTACTTCCTCATGAGCTATCCTGGGCTCCGAACATTCAAAACTCTACTTTCTTAGCCAACTTATCCAGATTTAATTTAAGATGTATGTTGTAATTGGGGCCTCACTTATTTAATTTGTACTTTCCATCTCTCTTCTAGTAATATCAGCATGGTTAGACTAACCCTTAGGTTAAAATTTTGATTTCCAAGACCTCCAAATAATAACTAGGACTAAGTAAGAACTTCTTGCAAGGAGTGAGTTTAAGATTGTTCCCTGTATTTCCATATAGTTTGCTCATTTGGTTCATTTGGATTTCTGGGATAATGTAGAGGGATCTATATTGATTAATCTATCTAAAATTTGATACCCCAAAATCTCCACCTTTGATTTTTTTATTTTATTCTCCTTTATAGTACAAAGCAAATCTGTCACAGCAATGAAGAGATGATGGAAAATAAAAACATTCCCAGAAATTACATTATTTATTTTTGTTTACTTATTGTCTGCCTTCTTCACTAGAACGTAAGCTACGTGAGGGCAGAGGTGTTGTCTTGCTTCCTCATGGCTATATATCATTGAGAACAGGACCTAGTGCACAATCCACACTTGATATGTATTCATTGAGTCAGTGAATGAATAAATAAATAACATAGAGTCTAAAAGCAAAGACATTTTTGGGAAATAAAATACAGTCTTTAATAATAATAATAATAATAAATCCTTCTAGAGATAAATTTATTTTCTAGTATGCAAAGCCATGAAATTATAGAAACTGGATAGTAATCCTAGAATATTTAGAATTTAGTCAATATTCAAAGTTAATTATGCCAATCATTCCTATGGTATACTTTAAAATATCTTTTGTTTCAGTCAAACCCACCTGATATGTCACTTATGTGTTATTATTTTAAATAAGATACTGCTTTGCATGAAATGTAGATTGTTCTACAGTTGACAGACACTTTCTGTATCTGTCCATTTAACCAGGAGTTTCCTGACTCCTTCTGGAATGGAGTCTTAAGGAGATGTGGCCATGTGATACAAAGATTCAGGAACTGGAATGGTCTAAGCAGTTATTTAAATACATTTTCATGATCATGTTTCCAAAATCCAAAGCATTACTTATAACTTACATCTTGAGTCAGTGTTTCAAGAGATTTCCCCCTGCTGATCCTCTGGCTGTTAGAACCATGTCTTAATGACCTAAAGCAATCATAACCAACTGGTAAACAAATCTCCAGAGCAAATTTTTACTTTTCAGCAATGACCATTATAAAAATAAAATAAAGCAATTTTTCTGATAATGCATCCACAATGCTGATTTCTTCGTCTACAGCAAAAGCTCATAGTCTATTCAAGTGTCTTGAGTTCATCTAACAAAATTCAGATACATTTCTTCTGATCTTAAAAGTCAGAACTTGGCAATACTAAAGAACAAGTTTTATAAGTAAAGACTGTTCCATTTGAATCTGATTATGAGTTTCAATATTTTACCACCAGCAAATACAACTTAGTTCTTCATGCTACCTATCTGCTAACCTGGGCTGACAGCTTTGACTGTGTACAGTGAGCACTTCCTGGAGAATTACTTTCCTAGATTTCTCTGAAGCCTTGTCTCCCTGGTCTGTTTACCTGCGCTCCTGGCGGATATGATGCTGCACACTGAGAATTGACCTTTCCTTTGCTGGTTGCCCCTCAAATGATCCGCTCAGCATGCGCTGTCGAGTGCAAGCCCTAGAAAAAAAAAAGGAGCCCCAGCTAAGTGCATGATTTGTATACTTGGGATGAATAATACATAACTGCTCATTACTCTGATTATTTTTAAGGAAACACCAATGATAAGGCAAAATACTGCATACTAGACATAACCATAAAGGAAAATGAGCTTTAGGCTCTGGGTCAGGAACACTTTCAAAGCAAAACTGTCATAGCTTTGAAGAGATGCTGCAAAATAAATAGAAACCCTCTCACTTCCTCCAAAAACAGAGGAGAACTTCTATTAGGATTCTGTAGGCAGTAAGGCCAGCCTAACTACAGGTAATTATGATGTTGCTTTTTAACTTAGATACAGAGTATTCTAATAAAAGTCCTTAGAGAAGAATTTGTCCATCTAGGTCCCTGGGATGATAGAATATCTATGTTTCCAAGGAGGTTCTGCAGAACTTTATAAAAATAGAAAAGCGTAACATTAGAGGTAAAAAACAATAGTCAAGAGAGTCATTAAAGCTGGAATTAATGTACAAGAAAACGTCAATCTAAAGCTAGTGGATTATTGGTAACCAGTTAAGACTTTGTATTCACATAATCATTAAGTCTTTTGAAAAAAATGTTCTTTTATGGAAAAATTAGAACCCACATCCATTGCTGGTGGAAAACAGCTTGGTAATTCCTCAACAAGTTAAACATAGAATTAACATATGACCTAGCAATTTCACTCCTAGTTTATATCCAAGAGAATTGAAAGCAGGAACACAAACAAATGCTTGCAAACTGATGTTCTTGTACACCAACATTCATTACAGTACTAGTCATCATAGTCAAAAGATGGAAAGAACTTAAATATCCCTCAGCAGATGAATGGATAGATAAAATGTGGTATATATATATATATATACACACACATATACATACAATGCAATATTAGTCCTAAAAAGAAGTTCTGATAGATGGTAACCACATGGGTGAACTTTGAAAACATTATGTTGAGTAAAAAAGTCAGACGAAAGGACAAATATTGTATGATACCACATATATGAAATATCTACAACAAGCAAATGTACAGAAACCAATGCTTCTTGTTGTTTACCAGGGGTGAGGGAGGGAAAATGAGGAGTTATTGCTTAAGAGGTAGTGAATTTCTGTCAAGGGTGTTGAAAAAAATTGGAAGTGGAGAGTAGTGATGGTTACAAAACATGGTGAATGTAAATGTCACTGAATTGTACTTGTAAAAAATGCTGAAATGTTTTGTTATATATATATATATATATATATATATATATATATATATATATATATATATGAAAATGTTCTATTTTCCACAGACTAAGACAGACTGGAAAGAAGGACAGTGCCATCTACTTCTGAAAAAATTAGCAACTGAAAACCTTATGAATAGTAGTGAACCCCATAACTAGTTTTGTATTAACTTCAGATTTACTAATGAATTAAGACAATTAGTAGTCTAACACTTGTGGTGAATAATTTGAATGAGAAAACATTTCTTCTCCAGAAAGCTGTCTCCAACTGGAAATGACAGAAATTCCCTGGAGGTTGTACATTCCAGACATGACACTGTCTCTAACTAGTTGGGTGACCTTAGGGTTCAGTTTCCTTAGCTGTAAAATGAGGAGAAGGCCTTGATTGTTTGGGTAACTCACAGATTTAAAGTTCACTTATTTTATGATATGCAAATCTTATGAAGCCATATTTGTTTAGTACCTGAAGACATGTTCTGCCATTGCTTTAGAGAATACTTTCATATTTATGCCTTCTAAAATGTATTTCTAAAATGCACTTAGTGATATTATTACTGTCTGTCATACTTAGAGCTAAGACATTAGAGAAAAGGATCTGAGCACTTAGAACACCTAAAACAACAACCCTTAGATACCATATGTATATTTACATTCTTAAAAAATGGTTTGATGCTAATGAAAGTAATTGTAATGAATATCCATGAAAAATAATACAAAGTCAATGATTGTAAAAACACTGCTGGAAATAAAGTATCATCAATCACTATTCTTAGTTCAATTAGAAGCATGAATATGTTTGGAGTAAAATCAAAGCCAAAATATTTTTGAACAACACAGATTACATAGAAGTGATATACAGAGATTGTGCTTATTTCCAAGACTGGAAGGATGTTACTGATTTTTGTAGAGTTAATACTGATTTTGTTAGGATAGGAAGATGCATCTGTAAAGTAGGCTTAATTGACAAATGTGTGGCAGGTTCTCACATGTGCAATTTTGGGGGGTTCCTTTTTGAACAAAGGACTGGAAATTATGAAGGAATCCTGAGAAAATCTATTTGGAATAACTGTGTTATTGTGGCATAGATGTATTTTTGGAATACATTTTTGTAAAGCATCAAGACTTAATCGTTGGCCACTGCCTTTATTCTTTTGTCACAAGATTCTCCCCTATTGGCCTAGTTGAGACCTATAGGTGGAAAATAAAAAATGGATACAACTTGATGATAATATTATCATTTGAGGTTGAGTGGCATCACTGTTTGAAATGGAAGGGTATAATTAGTTTTAAGCTGTACACTGTACAAATGCCTGTGGATTTTTTGCTTATTGACTCCAGGGCCTATTTGAGTCTCTAAGACACTAGAGTCAACACATACAAACACACACACACACACACACACACACATCCCCCAAGATCTGCCTGAATGCCCTCTGGGGGTCTTTCTCCATCTATGACAGAAGAAATACTTGTTGCCATTGAACTGATTATGACTCACAGCAACTCTATAGGACAGAGTAGAACTAGCTCATAGTTTCCAAGGCTGTAAATCTTTAAGGATGGACTGCCTCATCTTTCTCTCATGGAGTGGCTGGTAGTTTCCAAACATCAACCTTTCAGTTAGCAGCCAATTGCTTAACGACTGAGCCACCAGGGCTCCTTGACAGAGAAGACCCACCCACTATCATCGAGTTGATTATGACTCATAGTGACCTCCATTGGTTTTCTAAGGTGGCAAATCTTTGTGGAAGTAGATTGCCTCATCTTTATTCCACGGAGTGGCTGGTGGGTTTGAATCGCCAAGCTTCTGGTTAACAGTCAAATGCCTTAGGCACTTTGCCACCAAAGCTCCTGACAAAAAAAGAAGAAACTTGAATTCCATGATGGCCCACAAGATGTTGTAAAGACTCTCCCCTCCTCCCTGTTCTCCTATGTCTTCTCCACCAACAGTATGGCTGGAGTGGTGGTAGAAAAGTAACCTCTTTTTTTTTTCGATGGTGGCAAAGCATAGACCTTGGTGGTTGGTTTCCTCATTGGAAGGACCCTGCCAGATTTTCCCTGCTCCCTGCTCAGAGGCTGTTTGCCCATTTCCTCAATTCCTGTGGCTCCAGAGGCATCCAAATAATCCAAGCAAAGTGAAGCAGGTAGATGGTGACCAGCATAGCCTCAGTGTTAAGAGGTCAACTTTGGTGCCTCAGGTTCAACAAGTGACAACGTTGACCACTCTCTGTTCTCATCTGCTGGTTTCACATGCCAGGACTCTAAGCTTCCAGGCTTTAGGACACTTGGTGTCAAAACAAAGGTAAATGAACAGTCTCCATCTTCGTCTATTGCCCTCCTTGAGAGTCTCTGCTTACACCAAATGCTCTGATATCTTGTTCTTTCCTGTGAGTGTGTCCTACAGCTTTTGAGCTGAGAAAGATAACTGCTGAAATTTCTTAGCTGGAAACTAAAGGCTATATTTTTTCTAGCAAATCACTTAATAAACACTTTGAGTGAAGGCAATTGGGGGAAAATATGTGAAAGGAAGTTTATTTGAAGGTTCCTGAAGGATTCCCCCACCCCCCAAGTACAGTGGTGAGGTCTTATTAAAACTTAAAAGCAAAATTATCTTCTAGGCACTGTAGCCATTATAGCTAATAATCAGCCTATTTATTTATAATAAATTTCCCACCAAAAACCAAGTGATAATATAGATGAAACAACTTCTCAACAAACACAAAGATTCATCTAAGTGAAAATATATGAGAAAACAAAATCTAATTATATCATACAAGGAAGATCAGCTGCCAAACATGGGTTCCCTATGGATGAAGGAAAGACATAGATCTGAGGTAAGACAGGGGAGGTAGGGAGAAAGGAGGTGGGAAAGAAGTTCCATAATACTTTGGTATGGAGGACATCTAGACATTGAAGAAGCATAAGAGTGAGATTGCAACATTAGGATGTTTCCTCATAAATAGAGCAGCCTAGTATATGAGCCACTGTCACATTCTTTGATCATGTACGATATTTTCCTGTTCTGAGAAATAATAGAGTGGGTAGAAAGTTACTGTTTTTAAGCAGCATGATCAGATTCTCAGTCAGTTAAAACCTGTAACAAGTGATTACAGAATTACATGTACTCTAATAAATGTACAAAAGGTTCATACAAAAAGTGTGGTAAATTGCTTTATTATTTAAAGGAAATACAGGAATATCTCAGAGATATTGAGGGTTTGGTTCCACACTACTGCAACAGTTGGACAGCAACTTTTTTCTTTTTGGTACTAAATTCACAGGGAATTAGAGGGATCACATATGATTAGGAACATGGAAGTGCTTTGTAAACATTAATACCTTATTTAAATTTTAATTGTGAATATCACAATTTAGTGAGTCACTCAAATTTTTTAGTTTATCAGTGCATGTACTACTTAGGTTTACACTTTACTATAGTCTATTCAAGGAACTCTGGTGGCGAAGTGTCTAAGGCATTTATTTGACTGCTAACCAGAAGGTTGGTGGTTCAAACCCACCAGGTGCTCCATGAAAAAAAGATGAGGCAATCTACTTCCATAAAGATTTATCTCCTCAGAAACCCAATGGGAGTCACTATGTGTCAGGATCGATTCAGTGGCAGTGGGTTTGGGTAGTCTATTAACTGTCCAATAGCATCACAAGAGAGTTTCAGATAGTGTGAGAATAAACAAAATGCGACACAGAGACATGAAGTGAGCACACACTGCTGGAAAAATGGCACTGATAGACTTACTTGAT